TTTGTGGTGATTATTATTTGTTATATTCTACGGAGGAGAGACAATTTGACAAGACAAATGGATTGAATAGCCTGTATAGCGTTTAAATACATTTGAGTGTGTGGCAAAAACTAATACTTGGGTTCAATATACTCATGTTTGTCTTATTATGGCTTTATAGATTGTGAGTTTGAAGGTGATTGATAATTTAGATATAGATAAGAGGACGAAGCAGGTGGAGCCTGGAATTACCTGATTTTCGTTTAGATTTAAGGTGAAGAACGTAGGTCAGTCACTTGTCAAAAGTTAAGGCTAAATATTTTACTAAGGATATACAGTAGGAATTGTGTTATTGTTTAGTTTGACTGGTGAACATACCCTTATGCGTAAAGATAAAGTTATAAATGGTTAAATTAGGAATATAATTATAAGTTATAAATAACTTGGTTTCGTTAACTTTTTTTCTTTCAACGATTGGAGTATTGGACAAATATTAAATAATATCGTGTTTTTTTTTAATAAATTAAAATCAGGTAATTATTAGTAGCCATTATTATTGTATCATCGACGAATGTATCAATAGATATAAAATGCGATTTGAGAGTGTCGTAAGTAAAAATTGTATAAAACGAAAGGTGCTTAAGGAACTATAGCTAGGGTATTTCGTGGAGCAGTTATTAGCCCAGACCTCGAATATGTGGTTTTCAAAATAAGATTTTATGAGGAGCAAGAAGACATTTTTTTGACTAGAAAAGTAATCTCTAGTGCCACACCCGATCGAATGCTTGTGCCACTGCCACAAACAACTGCGCAGTATTATTTATTTCCATGCTCGAGGATATAAAAACTGTGTGCTGTGTGGCAAATTTGATGGACTGTGAAGGGTTTTGATATAAAATTTAATCACCAGTTTGGATAAACTGTAATAATATCCTAGTATATATTTACCACGCAACTACTAGATTCATGCTTGGAGCGCTATTATAGCAATACACATAGTGGGATATTACCCCTTGGAACTAGGTTAATTATTTTTAATATTATGTAAATATGGGTAATTATATTTTGTCAATACTTAAGCAAAGAATAACGATTTTATTTATTTTGTTGTAATTTAAAATATTATTATTCGTGGTACTTGAAAAAATAATTACTCTAATAGGTTTTTCCTCAGAATCGTTTTCATGTGCAATGATTTAAAAATGTTATTACATCCATTATACAGTGATCCAGTTGACACCTACTGTACAGCAGAGTGATACCCATTTGCCCACCTAATTTTAATTATTCTCCCCCTCCCACAAAATAAGAACCAATTTGCTACAAGATACCATCCTCAAGGTCGAAAATTTAAGTTCCAAAAGGTGATGATTTCTGATGACAGACACAAAAAATAAAAACAAACATCATTAATATATAAAATATTAAAATCAATGCACTCGTAGTTCCGCTCTGCAGAATCTAAAATAATGAACACTTTAGAACATCTTTTAAAACCTAAACTAATAAAACAATATAAATATTATATATAATTACATATTATTACATATTTATATTATTACATATTTATATTATTACTTAATACCTAATATATCAGACAATAAATGGATGATGGAGGTTCCATAGTTTCAAAATATATATTACTTCCATCATTATCATTTTACAAAATAGTATATACCATAAATAATATCTAAATACCTAATGATAATACAAACTATTTCAATCGTAACTATATGTTGAGTCAATAGTTGAAAGGCTTTTGACAACAGCAACTCTATAATAATTATAGTTGCAGTACTTACTCAAGAAACGTTTGTATTAAAATATAATTAGTAGGAGCCATCAAGCGTAATTTCTTCGGTAAATGCTAACCTAAATTACAATGAAGAGGTTGTATAAAAAGTATATATGTAGATATGTCACGAAGCTTAGGGATGAGTTTTGCACGATTCCCTTCTTATGTTTTTGCTAACTGTAATTTACTATAAAGGTACTTAATACCAGTAATCAGATATTGTATAAATTAAGAGCCTTGATATAAAGAAATGTATATACATCAAGGTTCCTTATCACTTGTAAATATATGTAACCGGCGCGTATGGATTTCAGTATAGGTACCTATTTATTGAAATCGTCGAATTAAACTTGCCTAATTACAATGATAGTAATGAATTCAACTAATATTCGACAAAAACCTCAACCTCAGAATACAAAAAATTGCATACATTTTTACCATCACTCATTATTCTAGGCCCGGATTTATATTATATGCACCAAAATCATACGAAATAATAGCATGCATTTATATGCACTGATTATCATTCAAATATATACATTTTAATTAATAATTCAATTAAGAGCGGCGGAAATACCTGTACCTAGTTGTAACTTGTAATAGTTGTATTATATTACACGATTTTTATCCATATTTTTTTATAAGAAACAAAATAATGGATTTTGGCAATGTTTTGTTCCTATACATTGGATTAATAGTTATCCCTTAATGTTGACCCGTCCAGAATAGTCCGGAAAAACGAACGAACAATAGTAAAACAAATGGGTATAAAGCACTTCGGTTTATTCGTAAAATACAAAAATATACAGTACCTACTACATATCAAAAAATGACAAAATAATATGTAAAAATATGCATCTTAAACCATTATTTTGAACCATTTTCATATGCAATGAAAAATCGTAAAATACAAAAATATGCACCCATCAAAAAATGACAAAATATGCTAAAATATGGAAAATAAAACTTTGTATTCCGGATCTATTGGCTATAATTCAAACTGGTAGCTCATCTAGCTACTTTTTGGACTGTTAAAAAAATACGTTCAAATGCATATTACAAATCTGGGCCCTATTCATATACTATGCATTTTAGTTTTTAACTACCTACTTCATTATAAATTTTGCGTTTATATATTGCAATCTTGGTGGGTGGAATATGTTCGCATAGCAAACGTCGTCTCGATGTTTTTAAAATTGAAGTGACACGAATCGGGTGAAAACACCTAACGACTACCTATAGCCGGTATCAAGGACTTAGCAAAAAGTTTCAACTGAGGGTTGGAGGGACAACCAAATGTGCTTTTAATTTTTACCCCAATAAATTTAAAATTTTGTTAAACTTTAATGCATTTGTATTAGTCATTGATGGTGAGGAGGTAATTTCCCTTTCTGCCACCCCTTGGCCAGTATAAGACATTTTATACCAGCCGCATAGAATATATACGTTATAGCTAGGTAGTCGAAGTTTAACGACGCGAATTTATCGGCGCGTATATATTATGTGCGTCGGCGTTAACCGAACATTGCGCACTCAATCGATTTATTGCAACAGGTGGGTGGTACATATTATTCGCATAAGAATAATATTCAACTAAGTCAGTGGCTCGAATTTTACTCTAAGTGTCTAAAAAATTTAATGGAGGAAGACAACGCCTTTTTATTCTTCGAATGATAATTAGTACCAATAATAAATCTATATATAAACGTATATTATATATAAAACGTATAAATAATATATAGAAGTCCTTGAAATTGTTAAACATTTTCGAGCTGGTGAAAATATATTATCAAGTTAATACTATAACTATATCTATATTGTATTGTGTAAAACAACTCTAAATGCTTAATGTACCGACGTAATAATTATAGACTATTGTAGGTATACACTATTGCACCTACCGCTATAAAAAATAAATATTTTAATGACTTATTAGTAATTAGGTGGGTACATAAAATGCACGCAGAAAATTACTATTCAAGCATAATGCTTTTAAAACAAAACAAACGTGTTGTATAATATAGGGTGCAACCCAAACGGCTCCCAACCATTTGTTGTCGGTTCCCTCCAAATGGTTTCCGTCGAAAAAGGTTTTACGCGAATACCTAGGTACGTAAATTCTCAAACGGCTCCGGTCTACAACAAGAAATCTGTATAATTTACTTTGCAACTATGACATCGTACATCGAAGGGCTTCCCATCATCCCCCCTTTTTGGTAAAACTAACTGACATCTTGATTGTACGAAGAAATAAAAATTAGTAGAATTTAGTCCCACGACACGTTCTTCGTTATTACCACAGAAGAATAAGCCAGTAGAAGTTCCAGTATTTAAAAAAAAGTAAGTTGTTATAAGCTCACGATAGTTTCAAAATGCCTAAACATGTAATAATGTCCATATGAATCAATATATGATATTCGAATTAATTAACCCATGTATAAAATATTATTTTTATTTTTTATTATCGTTTATGTATCTACTCATTTTTGAGTTTTTATTTCCAAATTTGTAATATGTTTTATGCATTTTTCGAAAGTACCATAAAAATGTAGCTGAGTATATATTTTAAGACTGCATATTTCGATCATTTTTGAGCAACAATATTAGTCCCGAACATTTCTCATATGCATTTTTATAATATTATACACTTACTTATGTTCTTGACCCCCGTCCACCCCCATCAAAAATTTTGAAAAAACGCCACTGTATATAGTATATACCAGTAACAATATTGAATATAACAACAATAATAATTACGTTGTGTAGCTGTTGTTCGGGTCTCGTAAAAATCATAATAATATTATAAACGTGTGTGTATTATAGAGGTACGTACCGATGTAGCAATAGAGGAAAATCAACAAACAATAATATATATTGACATATTATTATAACGGGCACGACCGCGGCGGTGGTAGTTGCACTGGCTTCAATGAGCTGGTGTGTGGGCGGCGTCGGCGTGCCGGTCGTGTTTAAAACAACCAAAAGAATATGTAAAAGCCTCGGCGGTCGATGACCGTGCCGTCGTAACGGGAGAAAAACGACCACAGCGAGACGTAATAATAGATGATCATCAGCAGCAGCAAGCAAAAGCCCTGAGCTTCGACGGGGGTCATGATGGGGCCCGGGCGACCTTTTACCGGGGTGCGGGCAATGTGCTGGTGGTCCGCCGTCCGGAGTCTGCAGTCTGCACAATCGACAGTCGGCAGTCGGTGGCGGCGGCGCGGCTATGCGACGAAGCGACCGACGGCCGACGACCTACGACCGACAGCCAACGACGGACCGCGACCGGCGGACCGCCGGGCCGAGCGCTCGGCGTCCTGGGACCCTGGTACGAATCCGGGCAAGTGATGCGTCCGTGAACGGTGCGACTCAAAATGCACACGTACGGACAGCGGGTGCCCAAAATGTCGAGCAGCTGTCAGCGAACCGCGCGCACGGGGGACCCCTTGGCTCGGCCTGCGCACCGGCCGGCGCGTTGGGGCAGGTCATGGTCCGGGCGAGTCCAAGTCGGCCGCCGGGGTTAGGGACGGTGTTCGGCCGCCCGGACCGACGACGGTCCCTCACCCGACCGGCGACCGATGGATTTGCCCACGACCAAAGCGCAGCGAAGTGCACGTGCTTATCACCGGTGTGCAACGTTCTTATCACCGGCCACGTTCCACAAACGGCTACAGCAGCCGCCGGCCAACGCTAATAAAATGTAACGTTTATTACCTACTCGAACGGTTACGTTACAATTCGCTCGCGGTCTCATGCGCCCCACATCCTGTTTGGTGCACTATTATGTTCTTATCATGGACGGCACAATCAGAGCGCAGTGACAACTACTTTTGAGATGACAAGTGACAGCGGCTTCGTTCTCAATGTCTTGAATCGGCTGGATCCGCTTCCGTCACATTTGATTGTTTGAATACTAATTGGCCGACACATGCTAGAAGGTACGCTACGTCGTCGGTTCGTGGTAAAAACATTGCCATTTTTTACTTGGAATTGCATTACCTATAGGCTATAATATATAATAATATTAACATTGATGATCGGTCATTATTTAAGTTATTAGCGTTATTGGTATAAGGCTCTTCGTTCAGAGTCGTACGTATGCAGACGAGTAGTGACACCCATGTCCAGTGAAACCAAATACTTACCCCGATAATAACAGATTGCTTTAAATGGAAATCATTGTTGACTGTTTACATTTTGAGTGTTATTTGTACACTAACTTTACTGAATAGTACTTGTGTAGATAGTGGAATTAATTTTTTATAACAGAGGTACAGGTGTTTTGCTGACATAATATGTTATTTAATTAATATAATACTAAATGTTTACCTATCTCAAACTTATAAGATTATTTTTTCTTGATTTTGGATCAAAACTTTACAGAATTACGCTATAAAATATAGAATATCTCATAAGTTTCAATTAATTTAAACTATTTTCCTGGCGGGGACCCAGTATTATTTTTTCTAAAAAATAAATAATGATATATAATAAATTATTATTATTATTATTTCAGGCACTAGTACATATTACAATTGAATTGGGCTGATTTGAAACATGTGTAAGTAAATTTGATATATTATTATTTATTAACACGTTATATATTCTGTTTATTCATAGCTAACATTTTATACACTAAATTGCCACAAACGGAATTTGAGTCTTCTGGGGTCTCAAAAGTGGACAATCTATTAACTGTTAATCAGTTGGCACGCCAGTTGTTGCCATTGAAAGTGACTAATAAAGAAATAGATTCCGGACTTAAAAGGGCAAGCGAAATCTAATATTTCAAACAAGTAATGATTATTAATGAAGAGTAATTTTCTAGATATACTGGTTAGGTAATTATACACACAAGAAAAAACCAAAACCCGTAGATAAATGTAAACCAAAAAACCAATTGAAACGAATACTAGGATTAAATCATCCTCCAAAAAATGTTTTGTCATACACTGATGCAATGAAGTTGAATGAGCTCTGGATGTCATACATGAAAAAAATTGTTAACTTTGATGATCTCCACAAAAGAGGGTAAGACAAGAGGTCTATATTTCTAATCATTGTTATTCATAAATTCTATGATTTTACAGATGGGATGGTACTCCAGGATGTAAACATTGGGAACAATTCATGACTTCATTGTACAAGTGTGATTTTCATGGTGCTCACATTAAAGTGGTCAGTTCCAAATGTTGTTCATATATTTCAGTGGCAGGTGTTATAATTCTTGAAACAAAAAATACTTTCCAAATCATCGGAGTTGATGATAAATTAAAGAGTGAGTTTCTTACATTACAAATTATGATAATATATTAAATTAAATAATAATACAATATTATATTTGTTTTTGCAGCTGTACCCAAAGACCAGTGTATTTTCGAACTAGAATTTGAAGGTTATATCATTCAGCTTTATGGTAAACATTTTGTTGTCAGATCAAAAGATCGTTCTAAAAAGAAAATAAAGGATAATCTTATATTAGAACTGTGAAAATTAAGACTACAAAAAAAACAGAACCTATTGTTGAATAATGTATTTGTATGTATAAATTAAAATTGATTTTTTATGCTGATAATTAGAATATTCTTTTTATTCTTATTTTCTTAAGATTTAAAATTGATTAATTGAAATTAAGATTCTTATGATTAAAAAAGTTTTTCAAAAAATTAATTCTGAAGCTTATAGTGAAAGAATAAACAAATTATTACATCATTAAGGGAGGCTTTAGGAATAAAAACAAGAATTAGACACAAAATACCTATAAATTATAATAGTTTTATAATAACAAATAAAATACTAGTTTTAAAATCTGAAGAACCATAAACATATAAAAAATTAACAATATTATTAGAAATTAATATGTATAAAATTATTGCACATTTAATATCATGTATCTGCTCATGTATATCGTTTTAAAAATGTTAAATCAAACATATATATATATATATATATATTTCTTTATATTAAGTTTTATAAGTTCAAAATTAATTATGTTATTTTTAAAGTGTGCTAAAAAATAAATAGTTATACCTTATACATTGTGTCATTGCTAAGTGTTAAGCCTTACTAAATTATACTTTTGTAGAATTGTAATCCTCGTAATCTAAGTTGTGCTTAAAGGAACAAAAAACAAATTATAGTAAGATCTGAGATTAAAAAACTTAATAAATAAAATAGTCATTATATAAGGTCACTGTTAGGTCCAACAAATAATTTGAATAATTTTTTTCAAATTAATTCAACTGAATTTTAAAACATATAAAATAATTTGTGCAAATAGTTCATATATGATTATTGAAAACTCATATCTGATTAGGGACAATATTAATTACAAAAAAAAATTTCCAATTAGTCATTACTAATTATGGTTTTGTTTAAAAAATCTGGAGTAGGAAATAAATTAACAATTTAATATTAATATTTACTTTTAAATGTCATAATTTTCCAAACTAAATCATCATAATAATTATTATTCCTTTAGTAAGGTTGTAACTTGTAGAGATAAAGAAGCATATTTAAAAGTAAAAACGTATGCAATATTTAAAACAATTATTTGATTGCCAATACTTTTATTCTATGTTTCATAAACTAAAATGTTCATGTTGCTAATTGAAATCATTACAATTTTAAAAAGTTGTTTTAATGTACATTGTTAAATACTATTTGGGCATGAAAGTTATACACTATAGTAAAACAAATTCATGATCTCACAGATCTCATGATCTTTTTTTTTTTAAGGAGAACTTATAAAATACTACTTAGTGACCATATACAAATATGATATTGTACTGCTGTTACTAATGCGAGGTACACAATGGTAGTAAACCATGATAGATGTAATCTTGATTTGTGACAGCTAATATCATGATACTAAGATAGTTTATGATAATGATAGTTCATAGACTGTCGCCAAAAGGACAATATCATAGTTGGTTTCACAATTTTAGAAGTATTTTTTTTTTATGATTATAATTTATAAATATTGAATATGGCATCGGAATGGTATTGGTGTGCAAACATAAACAAAATAAAAATAATAAATTAATAATAATAATAATTATGGTAATAATACACATATGAATCAATATAAAGAAATCAATAAACTACAATAATAGTCATAGGTAACAATTATAAGTAAGAGCTAGGTCCTAGGTGCTATAAGCAGATGGTATGATTGTGTAGCCAATCTATCACTTTTTGATAGCGCTTAATATGTTCTTCCGCTAAACATTATTTCCGGGCATTCCTCAACAATATACCTAATAGTTTGGGCCTGACCAAAGTTGCAGAGAGGTGAGTCAATCATTCCCCATTTATGCATTAAATAATTGAAGCTATGCAATCCAGTTCTTATGCAGTTAAGAGCAATCCATATGGTACGTGGGTATTCGAAACCTGGGACTAATTAGGTTGGATCACTTATGAGATGATTATTAATGACCATTCCATCCCTCCAATTGTATTATTTATTATAGTGTACCTAGGTATAAAGACTCAAGAATCTTTCGGGCATTTTTTTTAAATACCTTTCAACGTCATTTTTTTGTACATAGGTTTTGGTCTTTCTCTATTTATCGGGGTGGGGGAGCCTTACAAAAGTTAAACATAAGTACGCCTTAAAGTACCTATATAGTTTAAGTTTTGAAAACCATATTTATAACATTCCAATTCTTATTTCAAGATGAGATTTGGTAAAGTAAAATGAATGACTATTGTTATTGCAAAAATATCTTACCACAGTGGCGTACCGACAGGGGGGTTTTAGGGGATTTAACCCCCCCCCCCCAAGCAAAATACGAATAATGATTTTTTTTATGGAATATTATATTTAGACTAGGATCATTGTACATAAAATATGGTAACCCCCCCATTAACGAATTCTGCGTACGCCACTGTCTTACCATACCATGTCCCTTTTAAATTGCTACATACCTACCTACTTTAAAGGACCAAATTAAGTATACATGTATAACACAATGACTTTGTGTTGTATGTTGACTGAAATATTTAATTAAGTTAGTGCTCGGTAGTTACTACTTAGATACAAGCCCGGATTAAGACCTTTTTTAGGCCCAGGGGCCAAGGTTTTAAATGAAGCCCCTGCAGGAAAAAAAATAATGTATAATACTATATATTTTATATATTATATTATTTAATATTATTTACCTGTTATAACCAATATATAGATATTAGGTACATAACAATAAATAATGAATAATGTATCATTTTATTAATAAATTATAATTTACAAGCTTTTTCCCTCCATACATAATCATCGATTTTTTTTTTTGGTGATTTATGCAGTGTTATACCAAGCCTATAACGAAAAAAGTAATGGACCAATCTGAGGCCCCTAAATAAATTCTAACTATCGAGGCCCGGGGGTCATACCCCCCCTTAATCCAGGCTTGCTTAGATAGGTACTCCAATAGTTGTAACTATTATAACTACCTGTATTATTAGATTCTAAGGTATGTACTTATAGTTAACTATAATCAACTGGTGGATAGATTAGAACATTATCATTATTATTATTGATGACTGTTGGCAGCTGGACAATAAAATTAAAATAACAAGTTAGAAGTTACAGCAGCTCTCTGATTTCCAATTTACTACCTTTTTTTATAAAGAAAAAAATTAGTTACCTATATGGCTAAGAATATTATTATGTATTCATGTCAAAATATCCTAAGGTTACATGATGAACATATTATTTGCTAATAGGTATTTTCTTGCAATTATTTGAATTAGATATTATAGATTGTATTCAGTATTGATAATGTAGTTGTTTTCAATCTCTGCCAAATAATAATCATTTATTTGTCCAATTAATTCCCAAACTAAATGTTTCATATTTGTTTGTAATTACTAATCAAATATTTAAATCATTAATGTGTGTGATAGATTATTTAGCTGTAGAAACTTCAAAGTCGGACTTCTTATATAAAAGGTATGCCAAAATGATGGTCTCAAAAAATTTAGAATTGCAATCTTTAACTTTTCAGATTTCCCTCCAAGTTTGGACCGATGTATTTCGTACGATCGACCTATTAGAACCAATAGGTATTTAATTATTTTCTAAAGCCAAGTTTAAAGGCTAAAATGCACTTTACCACGCGAGGGGGGTGCAATTTCCCCCCCTGGCTTTTCAAAAAAAAAATAACTAAATGGTACTTATTGAAAATATTTTATTTTGCATAATTATCTATTATAATACTTATTTTGCATTATTATTTTTATCCATTATAAATTATATCCAATCGCCGCAATAGGTACCTACTCATTTTTTAAATAATAACTGTAAACGCCTAGGTTTTTTTCTAAATTCTTCAATTTTACAACGTAACTCGGAAGAACTAAAATAATATACGATGTATTCGGTATTAAGCACGTAGCACGCTGAGAAATACACACACGACACACGACTAACGACTATATTATAATATTATGATTCAGATTATATTATTTTATATCGTATGGTCATGGTGTCTATACAAAGGAAATCTCAGTTGTCACAATTATATTCAATAATATATAAATCGGTCACTTTTATCGCATGCGATAAGCTTACGAGTTGTCGATCATTATCGGATTTTTTAATCGTAGCCAATATGGCAATATCCCACATTACTTTGTATCTGACGAATAAAACAAAAATAACTTTATATCGTCATATTATAATATTTGAAAAATTATTTCTACGTATTAAACTAAAATTATTTAAACATTATTTAAAAATCGGCGTATACCTACTATGCACGATGCACCCCCCTGAAAAAATTCCTATTTCCTGCCGACGCTTATGTCACCACCTCCCACACAAATTACAAATTAATTTTTTTTTTTTATTAATTTACGTGTTTTTCAACGCTGAGATTTTGAAATTGTTTGAACTTTGTTACGGGAACCTTTAGAAGTTACGATAAAACCAGAAATATTATCAGAAGTTATGATAAAAATACTCATGGTGACAGGTGCCTGGTGGCTGATGCATTAGTAAAATTAGGGTTCAGAGTTCAATTCCAAATATGTATCATACTTTTTTGTGGCAATTTTATAAAGTTATTTTTCGAGATTCACTCGACAATCGACATGGTGTTTTTCAAAACAAATCTAGGGATATTTTTGGTTTGCAGAACGTAGCAACGTCGCCGAACGAGCCAATGGTCTACTTTTTTAGGAAAATTGACTTTACCTTGGACCCAACGTTTTTGAAATTTTTTGTTATAACTTCTTTAGTAATTGTTTCTACAAATAAATTAAAAAAGTTTCAAAATCAGAGTTGAAAAACAAGTTTAAAAAAAAAAAATTGAAATTCGTGAGGGGCATGGTAAGTGCGCAATTTCTCCATTAGAAAAGAGAAATCGATAATAATTTGATTTTTTTTCAACTAACTTAACTAATAATTAGATAATAATAGTATTGTATTATTTAGGCATATATTAGGTAGGTAGGTACGTGACAATGTGACTGAAATATTACAAATAACA